ACGTCAACACAGTCGCCAAGTTTGTCCATTACGTAACCATCATAGCAGCTGCAGGTGTAGCTACCTGCAGAGTTCTGGCATATCTGTGAGCAGTTATCTGTTTTCAAGTCGCATTCGTTCACATCAACACATGTGTTATCTATAAGCTGGAACCCATTCCTGCATACGACAGGCTGTTGACACAAATAGTTCCACTGGCTACAGGTACATGATTTCATGTCGCTGTTAAGTGTATAGCCAATCACACAGCTGCACTGGTAAGAACCAACAATGTTGGTGCAAAATTGACTGCAGGGTTTTTGTATACATTCATCTATGTCCAAACAGCTGACCAGATCGTAGGCAAGACGATAGCCAGCATTACAAGAACAGGTGTAGGACCCAACTTGATTCTGGCACTGTTGCTGACAGGGCTTAACATCAAGACCGCATTCATCAACGTCAACACAACTGGTCAGGTCCGACGCCAGCTGGTAACCTTGGTTACACCCACATCTGTACGAGCCGTCTAAGTTGGTGCAGGTTTGTCCGCACGGTGACTTGAGACACTCGTTCACATCCACACACGACACTCCGTCAGGTCCCCGGATGTATCCGACAGGACAGATCGCCTTACAGAGGACCTGATACGAATAAGAACCATTGTTTCTGTCTCTAAGACCAGCTGAAGTGCTCCTCACAAAGCATTTTGTTGTATTTATCCAGTCACAACCGTCATTAGGATCTGAGGTTCCCCATGATGACTTGGCGATCTCTTCAAGCTTCCAAAAGTATCCTGTTCTATTTTTGAATATATCAACCCACACGTCAAAAGTTTTGTATTTACTTAACAAGTAAGTCGTTACATTTGAGAACTCGAGGTTGGTGTCAAACATAACGACAGTCGAGTCAATAGCCGCACACATCTTTACTGAGGCGTCGTAGTACTGGGTAGTTGTAGACAATAAATACATCCTTTTGTCTATGCTGAAACTTGTAAAGTCTGAGAGGTTTGTTGTCTGGACACTGACCAGCCCTTTAAGATTTCAAACACGTTAGTTCTTCTATGTTTAAAAGATCTTAAAAACCAATAAAATATTTACTTCTCTTTGTTTTTTGCAATTATATAAATTAATATAATTATCTTATATATATATATATATATATATATATATATATATATATATATATATATATATATATATATATATATATATGAGAGTATATGAAAGTATACATGTATATATATATATATATATATATATATATATATATATATATATATATATATATATATTTAAGTAGTGTGGTGTCTGTTAAGCATCACTACACCTTGCATCCTTGAGTGGTTTGTGAGAAAAAAAAAATTGAAAATTCGCAGGGGCGGCGCGAGAGTAGAGTTTTAATCGACGCCCAGTTCTTGTTCTTCAGCACTTAAGCGTTTACTTTGGTATTAAGCAGTGTGATTCACTATGGATTTTGTGGGATTCTATAATTGTTTACTAATTTGAATTACGGACTGAACTTTGCGATATTTCGAATGTATAAACAGTTGCTCCCTAGAACGTTCCGCAACGCCTCTGACACGAGGGCGGTCACTGGGGTTGATTATACATACTTCACTATTACGCTGATTAATGTAAACTGAAGTCTTTCATACAACACTACTTGGGGCGTACGAGCAGTATTGTGGACAAAACCACGCGCAAACAACTAAGCTCCAAGATATACATTTCGAGCATTGTTAACATTTATTTAGGTCAGTTTTAGTAAACAACGTCACGCGTCTAAAAATTCACGATAGGTTACGCATTGATGAAATCCTCTTTAAACATTGCGTCAGCCGTTCTTCTGAGACCGCAGCAACGCGTGGAACAGGTACGCTATTAAAATATAAAGGGTGAGTATATGTAAAATGGCTACTTTTTTCGAATTCAATTTTTATTATATTTTCAGATTTCAATATAAAATATTTCTAATTGTAAATATACTTTTCTTACAATATGCCAGAATCGTCAGTCTTATCCATGAAAACCAGCCCATTCTCATTCCTCGATTACAGATTTTCTAGTGACAGGAAATTTCAACAGCTAGAATATTAGAAGGAATGTTTATTAAAAGGAAAATGTTCTTTTAAAATTACATTAAAATTATACATATTATTGAAATTAATATTACCATTACACTAGACTATACACAACTTCAAATGTAATGATAAAAATAAAACTTAAACACATTTATTTAAAGCAATTATATTTCAGAAAAATGTATTAAATCAACTTTAAAAACAGCAATCACATACCATGCAAAATTTGACTTGCTCAATAGGACTATGGCTCTGTTTATGCAATTAATGGTAATCTACAAAACAACTTTCTGAAGAAGTTTTTCCTGTGGAGCATAAAATCTTAATTAACTCATATCAGGTATGTAGTTTTAGGAATTGATCTTATTTTCGAATCTAAAGATAAACACACACACATGAGTTTTCTCACACACGCATACACACATACACACTCACATATACACTATATATAAAAATATAAATAAATAAATATACCTATATATATATATATCTATATAAATACACACACACACACACATATATATATATATATATATACATACATATATATATATATATATATATATATATATATATATATATATATATATATATATATATATATATATATGTGTATTTATATATATATATATATATATATATATATATATATATATATATAGGACCACGTCTATGAACTAATACCTGTCTTGACTGAAGTAAGTTGGAAATGTTGACTGGAGACTGAATAAACATACGCAAATTCGATCTGTAACTGTAATTAAGTTACAGTAAACCCGAGGACAATAGCTGTTGCCATTGATATAATCTGATATAACCTATGATTGATTCATTTCCTTTGTGTTCGACATCAAGGTAGTGTGACATCACGGTAGTGTGAAACCAATGTAGTGTGACATCAAGTTAGTGTGACACCAAGGTAGTGTGACATCAAGGTAGTGTGACATCACGGTAGTGTGAAACCAATGTAGTGTGACATCAAGTTAGTGTGACACCAAGGTAGTGTGACACCTAGGTAGTGTGACACCAAGGTAGTGTGACACCAAGGTAGTGTGACACCAAGGTAGTGTGACACCAAGGTAGTGTGACACCAAGGTAGTGTGACACCAAGGTAGTGTGACACCAAGGAAATGTGACACCAAAGTGGTATGACACCAAGGTAGTGTGACGACAAGGTAGTGTGACACCAAGGTAGTGTGACACCAAGGTAGTGTGACACCAAGGTAGTGTGACACCAAGGTAGTGTGACACCAAGGTAGTGTGACACCAAGGTAGTGTGACACAAAGGTAGTGTGACACCAAGGTAGTGTGACACCAAGGTAGTGTGACACCAAGGTAGTGTGACACCAAGGTAGTATGACACCAAGGTAGTGTGACACCAAGGTAGTGTGACACCAAGGTAGTATGACACCAAGGTAGTGTGACACCAAGGTAGTGTGACACCAAGGTAGTGCGACACCAAGGTAGTGTGACACCAAGGTAGTGTGACACCAAGGTAGTGTGAAACCAAGGTAGTGTGACACCAAGGTAGTGTGACAACAAGCTACCCACCACAAGCTGATCTTATTTGCCATTGTTCCTATTGGAACTCTCCGCTATAATTGTAACGAATGAAATCATGTATTAATTTTTAAAACGTGCTTCGTTTTATTCTTACTCAAATCTTTCGCAGCTGAATTATTCTGATTATATATATAACAACAATAATATATTTTCGTCTACTTCTTTGTTCTTCCAATAACCACCAATAATATTGACGTAATAGTTTGCCATGGACTCAATGAAGTAGGCTTACATTGAACAATTATACAATATCAGCAATACAGAAGTTAGATGCAATTCTGGTATGCCGGATATTCTTAGGTGGCCGCAATATCTCTCGACCAAATATGTATCGTATTTAGGGTGATTTTAGTCGAGCTGACCACATCTAGTTGTCAGAATGTGAAGCACGGACTCTCCATATCTAATCCTACACACCAAGAAGACGCAACTTTATATAACGTTTTCATCAACACTTTATCGATAGTTTATTTTCAGACTTGTGACCTTGTTTTATATTGCAAATTTATTTTGATATATTTAACGTCAGCACTTTATATCTTGGATCTCATCTGTGATTAGTTTATCTACAAACGCCTTAGTGTGTGATGTAGGAGAAAGGCAGGTCTGGACTAAAACTAAAGGCAATATGGGGGTGGCAGAGGATTGACGATGTTGCGATACTTCTAGATTACGAACATTGCAAGAGCAGGTTATGCCCGTATATTAAAATGAAAACGGACATAAAACAGGTGACTATATAAATATAATTTGCTACATGGGCGGCAAATGTGTAATCAGATAAAAAGTATTTACAATTTCAGCCTATATCGTGCAATTACTATTTCTCGCATGCAGATTATATACGTTATATATATATATATATATATATATATATATATATATATATATATATATATATATATATATATATATATATAATTAAGAAAATGTTTGAGCCAATACTCACCGTTGACAAAGTCACAATCTTTGACCACTGGCACACTCAACTCACCTACATATAGCAACCAACTGACGATTGTCAAAACAGAGGCTGCTATAAAATAAAAGATTTGAATCTGATATGATTAGTTAATAATTCATGCCCATCCCCATTCATCGTTTTATAACTCTGGGTACTAGACTCAGAGCGCTAAAGGAGTGACGTCACAAACAATTCTACAGCAAAGACGCGAGCTAAAGAATATGTTTATATCAGTGGCGTAACCAGGGGAGAGGCTGGTTAAAAAAAAATGGGGGTTCAGGGTGGGGGTTCAAAAACGGGGTTTGGGTGGGGAAACAGGGGTTTAGGGTGAAATAACTGGACGTCGGTTGGAAAAGAGGGAGTTTGGTGTAAAAAAGAGGGGAAGGGGCAAAATGTGTTATTCGACCGTTATTCAGCAGCTTCACAATGCATTGTGTCACCCCATTTGATGATGTAACCCCGATGATACTGCAAGGGGTGACACAATCAAATTAGCTGACACCAAAAAATAACAAAATTAATGAGAAAATCTATTTTGCTCAGTTTAATAACGTGGTTATATTATCTACATCAATACACAGAGCGATACCAGCGACAAAAGGATGAGACAAAATTCGATAATGTTTTATTACATTTAATATATATAAAGACCATTAGAACTAAAGTTTTATGAATTTTGGGGTCTTAAATTTAGCGTTTTTAAAGGATCCAAAATTTGAAAATTCATAATAAATTAGTTTGAAGATCTGCCTTCACATTCATTCACATTTTTAGCTGAGTATCCCAAAATATGGTAGAAGATTATGAATTCATTGTTTATTGGGCTTAGAATATAATACTTTATGAATGGTGGAAATCCTACGAATATGTTAATTTTCCGCTGTTGTTGAGGTTACCAAGATTTTCCAACCAATTTCTAAAAATTAAAACACATAATCGGATGTACCTTTAAAAAGCTGTAGAGAAAAACAATTTTTGCTCCTTAGTATTATTTTTTTAAAACCGGAGCTTACCCCCTTAATGTAATCTTTTATCGTATTGACTGAATCAAATTGTATTTACATGTCACCATTTTTAACTAGAAATGAAAAAGTAGAAATTAATAGAATTTAATATATCCCTAATCCGTCCATATAAAACAATTTTACAATTTGAAGGATAGAAGTATTTGACCAAAACAGGTAAACACACACACACACACACACGCGCACGCACGTGTAGGTTCAGGATACTCGCTGAACACTTGGCTACGCCCATGTTTCTAAAAAAAAAAAGCCATTAGCGTGACGATCATATACAATTGACAACTTTTGACGAAGGCTTTATAATTCTTGTTCCTATTCCAGAGGTTTCTTTTAAGCTGATTTTTATATAAAAATCGATTTATTTTTCATTAAAATGTAATCCAGTTAAAGTTCGGGCTACAAAAATCGATTCTTTCTTTTCTATAAACCCCCAAACCGTGGCTTACCACCAGCCCTTTGTGGAAATGGTGGATATGTGTTCATTATTTGATACCGAATATTGGTCAAGCATGAATTAGTACCGCAAATACTAGTTAAGAGATAAGTTTATGGTGTGATATAACGCTTAAACACAAATGATTTTATTTTAAAGATTTTGATACAATTGCGTGGACCTAATAAATAAAACAAAACAATTACCAATACACATTTAAAAAGTAGTTAATAATTTGATGATGTTTTAGCATTTAACAGTTGATTAAAACAACGGTTGAGGAAGAGGCAAAAACAGCTGGGCTCTCATGGGCACAGATCAGAGGAGCAGCCCAAAACCGAGTCCGCTGGAGATGTGTGGTTGTAGCCCTTTGCTCCCCAGGGGCCATAAAGGAGTGATGATGATGATGATAAAACAACTTAGCCCCTATATATATATATATATATATATATATATATATATATATATATATATATATATATATATATGTGTGTGTGTGTGTGTGTGTGTTTGCGTGTGTGTGTATGTGTGTACAAACAAGTTGGTCGTGTTAATTTATCAAACTATACCGATAGACAAAAGATACAATACAAAATTAATGTTATAACAATATCAGACTTGTATTTTAAATAATGATATAGAAACAAACATTCTCACACTAACACACAACCGCACATACAAAAACGTTAGAGAAAACATTTGGGACTGGTCATGGAGCCCCCCCCCCCCCCCCCGCATTATCCTTTTATATTCCGAGACAACATAAACATGTGAACTCCACTTCATTAGCTCCATGGACCGTCAGGTTTTATAAGGTAACCTTTATTTTGTCTTTACAAAATGATTATGATCATACGAGGTATTAATACATGTACAATTTTGTGTAAAATTCCATCTCCTACTACCAACAGTAAATCAAGTGCAGAGACAATGATCGTCTTGCTCGTAGCGAATATTAAAGGACCCGTTACATATTGTAAAATTTTTTTCTTCGGTAGATGCAGGATTAGACTCATCCAGTCTCAATAGAAGCAATTATTAGTCTTAACGGCGACATTAAAACTAATCTTATAATTTGTTACACTGTACAAAATAAAAAATGAAAGAAAAGAAAAGTTTTAAAAGCCAAAATTGTAACTGATGTACTATACCCTGTTGCACTTTGACGTGTTTCAAGCATGCAACTACAACATCGAAGTTAAGTATTTCACACTTAGCTAGAGTGGAATAAAAGATTAATATATATATATATATATATATATATATATATATATATATATATATATACTAGCCGTCCCGGCCAGGCCCTGCTCTGGCTTCTGTGAAAAACCTTTCTGTTAAAGACTTTTACCTGTGTGTTTATTAATCATCGTAAACCCGGCATTGCCCACCCAAACCACAACCAACCAAAACCTAAACAACAAAACGCAAACATAACGCTAACACAATTACAAATACAAACGAAAAAAAAAACCTAACAACAAACCCAACCACAACCACAAACACCAAAACGAACACAAAGAAAAAAAAAACGAAAAAGCAAACGAAAACAAAACAAATCCAAATGCAAAACCAACCACAAACACAAACCCAAAGAAAAAAACACAAATGAAAAAGCAAACGAAAACAAATCAAATCCAAAAGCAAAACCAACCACAATCACAAATACAAACCCAAAGAAAAAAAACACAAACGAAAACGAAAAAAGAAAGAACAAAAACGAACCAAATCAAAACGCAACCACTAACGCAAACCCAACCTAAACACAAAGAAAACACTAACGCGAACATAAACGCAAAGTGCTCACAGTCTAGCCCGGGGCGGAATCGCCTGTTTCAGCTTAATAAACGACTATAGTACCCAAACTTATTCATAGTCGTTTGCACTCACTTAAACGAAAGTAGGCGCCAAACCGAACACGGAAGGTCCGGGGCCCCAAATAGCACCCTGTCTGGGCGCCAGTGGACGCCCGGATTCGATTCACTTAAAGACTATAGTAACCTTTTTTATCCATACTCTATCGCACTGTTTAAAGCGAAATTATGCACCATAGCGCTCACAGGATAGCCCAGAGCGCCAAATTGAACCCTGGTGGGGCGCCGGCGGACGCGCCTGTTTCAATTAAATGAACAATTATAATACTCCAAGCTTAACCGTAAAATACCTACAACATTTGCACTTGATCAATCCCCGCTAATTATGTAATTATTTTTTCCCAACACGAAAACAAAGTAATAAAAAGTAAATTCTTTTCCACTAATGCAATGTTTTATAAAGGGAAGTAATTGTGTTTTCCTAATTTATCAAAGGGAAGTAAGTGCTAAAGGACTAGATATAAATAATTTTCAGACATAATTAGAATTTTTGTAAAAGATGATATTTTTTTAAAATCAGTTTGAAAAATGAAAATTATTTCCCAACACTTTCAATAGTAATTTTTTAACTCATAATTTTAGACTATGAGCGCGATAATAATCTAACACTTAAATCCATTGAAGTATGTCTACGACAAACAAATTTATTACATGTTACATACAGAATTAAGCTTTATATATTAGATAGATCTTTGATGTACTGTCGTCTTCAATGGGTCATATTCTTCAATGTATGGCTGCACTCGGGCAGTTTAGTTTATGGTTTAATTAGGATACTAACTAGCATCAGTAAAATCCTATGCATCTCGATTTCTTTGCAAGACTTCCCCTGGTCCAGTGGAACGCCATTGTATTATGGATTATTTTAGGCTTTTAGTGATTCTTTTCTTTTGCACCGGAAGCTTCAAGCAAAGCTAAGGCTTCTAAGAGTGTGACAAGCCATTCCGAATTTATCAAAACTGGAGATAATGCTTTTCTATTCCATGCGACGAATAGTACATTCATGTTTTAGTGCTAAACACCACGCTGTTTTAATTTGCAAAATTTCAATTGTGTTTAAAAAAAACATTTTTAATCGAAAACAAGAATAATATTGCTCAAAAAAACTATTTTAAAACAAATAAATATATCACATCAATGTCACGATTTAATTTAATTTAAAAAAAACAAGCAAAAAATGCTTTTAAAGGTTATTGTTTAAAAACAGTTAACAAAGGTGAGAGTAATCATAATGTAAATGGCAACTATTCTGATGACTAGATAAATGGTCCGTTGAGGGAGAAATGCAAAGGGCGCTAGATTGAAAATGTGTCTATTAGTCTAAACCGAAACCAAAACTAAAATCACCACCTCAACGTCAACTTAGACCGTAAACGGAAAGATGTCATTAAAAATAGATTTTTATACAGAAACGCCATTTTAACTAAATCAATTTAAGGAAATGTATAAAACAAATGTATAAAACAAAACACAAAAAAAAACTGTTTGACTATTATTAACACAGAACAAAAAAAAGTGTTTTGTAGATAAGCCAACATCGGGAATAACTTAAAGAGGAACGACATTGGTTTACTGAACATCCACGACGTTTTTTTCTACAGACAAGCCTCAGCTTTGAGAGCAGGAACTTTATGAGTGTGATGACGTCAGGAACTACTACAACTGCCATGGTGATCCCGAACAAAATGGCGCCAAATAAACCGACTGTCTGTGACGTCATTCTGTCGTCTGTAGCGGAAGTCTTGCTCCGTATGTAGGACGACAGGTCGTGAGTCTCAACGGTCAAGTTATTTTTGATCTGGTCAATTTCTTTCTGAACGGCCATTAGAGTACTGGACATGTTGATTCTGGTCTGAGTCCTACAGGAGCAGAGACAAGATGGTTGTGATCTGGTCTTGACACAGGAGCTACCATCTTGGTCAAGTTGGTAACCTAATGGGCAGGTACAGGTGTAAGAACCTAATGTGTTGACACAGGTATTTTCACAGGTGTGTAAGTTTTCTTTACACTCGTTGATATCCAAGCATGTGACGTTGTCATTGTTGTCTAAACGGTAACCATGGAAACAACTACAGACGTAAGAACCAATGGAATTTGTACAATTTTGTGTACAATTGTGTCGGCCTTGTTGACACTCATCCATATCCACACAGGTGAAAGGGTCGTGTGTGTCAATGTGATAGCCGTCCTTACATGTACACACGTAGCTACCGGCCGTGTTGTTACAACCATCAGAACAGTTGTCAGTTTCTAAACCACATTCGTCGACATCCACACAGAGAAATCTGCTGTCGTTGTGTAACTCATAACCTTGATGGCAGCTACAGGCGTAACCACCTACAGTGTTGTTACATAACTGGGAGCAGTTGTGTGTTGTAGTTTGACACTCGTCTACGTCCTCACATGTTTTGTTGTCAGACTTTAGAGTGTATCCATGGTAACATCCACAGTTGTAGGAGCCGATTAAATTTGTACAGTTCTGTTGACATGGAGAGCTCAGACAATTATCAATACAGCTTAGATTGTTTCTAATGTAACTAAACGTACTTGCACCTGGAGACCTACAGAGAACTTGTAGGTCTTGATTGCCTGCATCTCTGACTCGAAAACCATCTTTTGTCATTCTCACGGAACATTGAGTCCTTATATCGATCCAACACGACTCATACGGTTCTTGAGATGCAAATACTTCATTTTTAAATTTCTCTAATTTCCAAAAATACCCACTTACATTTCTTATAATGTCCACTAACACATTATAGTTAGAATAACGGTCATGTAAATAGTTCTGAACTTTAAAATATTCATCGTTTGTTTCAAAGAAGGCGAGTGAACTGCCAATAAATTGACAAATTCTTAATGAGCAGTTGATGTTCTGGCTTGTGTTTGAGAGGATGTATGTCCTACTGCCTACGTCAATCGTCGTGACGTCCAGTCCATGGGCACATACTGACCCTTTGGATAACGAGAAAGATATGTTTTCCTTAAATGACATATTTCATGTAAGAGTTGTTAGTAAAATAATGTAATGTCAAAACTTGATGCTGTTTATACGTTTTTTCTTTTCTATTAGCCGTTCACACATGTAGTCTTAATAGCATTGCATTTAGCTATAATTCATAAAGATTTAGGTTGTCATCAAAAGTTAATGTTAGTGTTAAATTCGAAGTAGATTAAGGGATAAATTTAGAATAAAACTATTTTAGGTAACTTAAAGCGTTACAATGCTATGTCTGTCAGCATTTAACAAAAATAGGAAAGTAAATAAATATTGAAATTTAAAATAGATATGCAAGTTAATACTAGAAGAAATTTAAATGACTTACAAAATGTTGTGAGTAGTAGAATTTTCCAATAAAAAGCAGACATTTTTTATATTCTTCTTTCAGTATTTAAAGTCAAACTCTTTCCCTAATTCAACGATAAAGAATAATTCAATTTCAAGAATGAGAAAATCCAACCAAATTAAACAGAGGCCACTAAAATTATAGTGTTTATTATTTATGCTAGACAAGGTTTATGTATTCGCTTTAATAAATCCGTAATTTAATGTAAATGACTCCCGGTTTGAAAAAAAAACAACAATAAATATTTCACAGATTTTATCAGAAGGTAGTTGTCTTGTAGTTGAAGTCATTAAGATGTATGTGCCGGCGTAAGTACATCACTTTAGCTATAAAACAACGCATCTTTAACCTTTAAGAGCGGCTTATATTAACTATCCTAAAATTGATTTGCTAAACGTTTCTAAAAACAAAAAACATCTACCGACAACAACAGAATAGATATAACAGAGAGTTAACGATCTATCAAGTATGAATAGACGTGTTATTTATATAGTTTCTTATTGATCCTAATCAAATAAAATAATTTTATGAAGTCGTAATGGGGTTTTCAAAACAATAGTTTTCCAAGAAATAAAACGGCGTTCGTTATGAAAAGAGACTCAGTTTTTAAAACTTTATTCGTGTACTTTATTTTCTATAGCATTGACCATTTTGAATTTGTGTTGACTTGCACGATCGTTTTCTCAGCATTAGCATTGTCACAAAATATACCTCAAATAGATACACATATTAACGCAGAAGTTAGTGTAAATATAAGCCAGTGGTCTCCAAACTTTTGAGCCCGAGTGCCGCATTAACTATCTAGTAGTTTGGGGGCCGACAACATACTCGAGGTCCAAAAAAAAACAACATGGATGTTATTTTAATTATTTATTTAATATTATTTTATTCAGTTGTTTTTCAATAATACATTATTACGCTACACACGGACACCTGCATTAGTGGGGATGGTGAAATTGTTTTTCGGATGCCAGAACATCAGCACTGACCTGAGATTGTTATAGGACAATATTTTTCTTAAATTGTTGTTTAAAGGCATGGTTTCCTTGCAAATCACGCACTAGGCCGGGGCTACCTATAAGGCGAACTAGACGGCCGTCTAGGGCGCTATCCGAAGTGGGGCGCAAAAATGTGTCATTTTCATTTTTAAAAAGTACCTAATAATTTATTACTTTGATTACATTATATAAACAATAGACAGAGTTTTATACAAAATTTTAACGATCTATTTCGCCGACCAGGAAGAATTACCAATTTTTGCATCCCCCTCCCTAAATTGGGCCCAAATGTGCCTATATAGGCTATATAGGTATTTGCGATGGTGAAAATAGCCCCCACCTCCCTCATTTCAATAGAATGTGATTAAGCTTCAAAATTAGAATATGTAGAAACGAAGAAGACACGAAATAATAAAATTTAGAATTTGAATTCTACTTTTAAAGTTTATGCAATTGATAATATTTTAATATATGTCATTTAAAATTAATTATTTTCTCATACATATGTTTTTGAATTAATTTGTGTGAAAGTGGGCGTTTTAATAAGTTTTGCCTAGGTCGCTAAATAACCTGGCGCTGGGACTGATCACACACAATGCTCTCTCGCCAGAGTTGATGAAGATGTATCTCAAACTCCATTCTTCTTAAAATGTCCGACACTCATCGTCTATTTTTCTTTTCCTCATCTTGCCCAACGCTGCGCACTAAGACAAAGTGAATTCCCTAGTCATAAGGATCTCCACGGGCCAAACGAGATGGCCCGCGGGCCGTAATTTGGAGACCGCTGATATAAACCTGACGTGTAGCACTGATGATGTACGTCAAGCAAGAATTAAGTGGTGGATAATTTTCTAGATCTAATGTTGTAAAAGCTTTTGCTCCTAATCAGCCTGCAATTGTAACTCTAAGGATGCTAAGTTTCGAAAGTGGAAACGTGTAGGCGAAATAGTAGGATTGGGTGGGTAAAAAAAAACATTGCGTGAATCATTTTATATAATGTAAAATCAATTTTAATGAAAAAATTAAAATCGTTTTTTGAGCTCACCGACGTTAGGCCAGTTCGCTCATTTGTTCGTGTAGTTAGCATTGAAGAAACGTGGTTCTTCAATTTCGCGTGAGCATATATAAAATCTACGAATCAATGGATGCTATTATTCTGTCTAGAAGTAGCACTCTTGCACTACCCAGACTTGCAATGGCCATGTTAAGATCCTGTCTTTACTGTCGACGTGTAGCAGTGAACAAGAGGTAGGTCTTCTTGTTATGCAATTATAATACGTTTGACTCTGGGTGCATACCCGCGTAGAACCTATCCAGTGCACTACTGCAGCTGTGCTAACGTCTGCTAAACGAGGCGCTCAAATACTCGGGGATATTTACGCTTCTAATTTCAATGTAACTAATTGATTCATTATTGATTAGAAAACTCAACATATTTATTAATAGTAAATCCAATTCACGGCAAAGCAGAGATGGTTGGACTCTATGTAGTTCCACGGACTTGAGTCAGGAATCCGATAACAAGACTTTCGGGTTGGTTTTACTTCGAGACAAATCCGTCTCAATGAGCTCTTCATCCGGCACACGACGTCCAACAGTACAATTTTATACACGTTGGTATTCAGGGCACTGTACTTTTTGAAAAGCATCAAGCCCAAGTTTTTGAATTGCTATGTTGCAAGAAGCTACGTGGTATTTACATCACATACGGCCACACATCCAAAGTACTCAAACAAACAAAAAACACACACACATACACACTCTCTCTCACACACATACACACACATATATATATATATATATATATATATATATATATATATATATATATATATATATATATATATATATATATATATATATATATATATATACATATAAGGTGTGGCCAAAGCCCAAAGTGCTGCCAAAGAAATCATAGTCCAGACAAAACCCGAAGAGTTGACAAGAGGATATCATACCAGGAGGTGATATTGGCCAATACGTACATTGGACGGCAAATGCTTTGGCCGTTTTAGGGTTTTGACCGTAAAATATAATATCGATAACATAACCTGTATTGTTGCTTAAAGTATTTATTAAGAATTTCCTGAAAAAAACAAAGCCGGCTTCTGATGGAATTAAATTAAGCATAGTGTATAAACGTTACATTAATTTTAATATTTACATTAATCGCAGTAAATTACATAAACTAGTTCATTTTTTTAAATGAGAGCTCTTTGGTTTAACGTTTTAAAAACAATTCACATGTGTAAGAAAAAAATACGAGGTGAAAAAACTTCGAATTTTTTTTTAAAAAACATATATCATTATAAAGTTAAAATGTTCTAAATAACTAGACTCCTGATTAAGCTAAATAGAAAAGAAAAAAAATGATTTCAAAATTATAGGATTCGGGTTAACCCTTTATTTACGGAATTATGTTCGAAATGACATTTTTTCTTAAACAATGTGTTATCATATTGCTTTTGGCACATTTAAAGCATATGTCGAAGGAAATTTTGTTTCATAAATTTTTAAGGGCCCAAACATTTATTGGTACTTATAAGTACCGTCAGGAATGTAGGACATTTTTTCCAAAAATAAAAAAAATTACAAAACAGGAAAAAACGATACAACTTATTAAATAATAACATGGCAATCATTATAACAATCATTTTTTGTAATTTTCACTCATAAACACAGCACAAAAGTATATTTTGAGTACGATTTTTACTGGATTTTTCATCTGAACACCTCAAACACAGCAAAAGGTGCCGACATGTCATGCTCCCCCATTCTTATTCTTGATACATTCTGGTCTGTCGTCTTTCTGGTGTGGCAACAGTTGCCGGACTGAACCTGCTTTTGCTGGAGGCTTCCAATAGCCATTACAATGAGCCGCATAAACAAATATTTTGAAAACAAAATCCTAGTCATTCAAAACACTACTACTAGTAATACTAGTATAATTGTAGCCTAATAGAATGTTATGACAAGTCTACACTACAGTGTAAAGTTTATAAATAGAAGTAAGCTCAATGTGTTTAGGATAGCCGTAGTGGCCTACTGTTTTGTGTTTACTGATTCAAAATTACAAAACGATCTATACTACATGCAGATGTATGGACTATTACTAGTCTACATGTATACATGTATACATTACGTACACGCTAGCTATTGTATGCAAGACAGTTCTTTGCAACAAATATAACTTACACATCTTACTTCTAGAACTAGACTTTGGTATACAAATAACGTATACTAAACCTAGTAAACGAGCCTGCAACTGCCACCTT